TGTGGATCTCACCTCCTGCTGTGGGTCTCACCTCCTGCTGTGGATCTCACCTCCTGCTGTGGATCTCATTTCCTGCTTCATCCCTCTTCAGTGGCTTCTCTGTATCTCTCTCACGCTCTGGTTTGCACTCTGGGGTTTTGCTGGGTCTTGGGGTCAGTGCAGTTTTCCTGTGCTCTGATGCTCACCTAGCCCCACTTTGGGTCTCTGCTCAATGCATCGTGTATACCTGAAGGTCTTCCAACTTTGGCTTTTGGGAATTCAGATGATGTCCAGATCTTTGTAAGTTCCAGACCCTGTTCAGCTCACAGCTGTCTCATGACTGTTCCTTCCTCTGGAATTGTTCATGCCCACTGGTGTCCTTGTTCATGCCCACTGGTGACTCTAGGGCTCCTGAGAAGACACCGCAGCCCTCCTTCCCGTCCCCGCTCCTCCCCCCCTCCTGTTGTGCAAACTCTAGCTCTCTTGGCTTCCCCAGAGTCTGGCTCGGGTCCCCTCAATTCTGCGACAGTCAGCTCTGTTTGCTCTCTCTCCCTGTGCTCAGAGGAAACTGAAGCCACCTTGGACAGAAGGAGGCAGTCCCCGCGAGAGACCCCAGGCCGGCAGCTGATTCTCTCCTCCAGAGCGCAGTGTGCGGGACTCTTGGAGACAGCTTCAATGTCCCTTCCAAATGTGTCCTTCTGCCTAGAGACTGTGTGGCACCCATGTGCCCAAGCACAGGGCTTTGCTAAGGAGGTCACCCCTGCCCTTGCTTAAGGGCACGAGTACCCAGGCCACGTGTGGTTCCCGGGTGGTTCCCTCCCCTTGCCAGCTCTGCCTTCCAATCCCGCTTGTTCAGGAGAGGGAAGTCCCTGTCTACACAGCCTCTGCCTCCTTAGCTAGGTCTGGGGAACACACACCCTGGGCTGAGCCAGGAGCCCTGGGCTTTGAGTGGCAAGGGAAGCTTTGGAAGTTACAAAACACTTTTTTTGTGGTTGTTGTTTAAACAGAACATGGATTTATGACTAAAGTCCTGCAGTTGATCACAGAATGTCAGCCTGGGGCCTCTAAGATGAAAGACCTCTTTGTTCTGCACCGACCTCGCCCTGAAGCAATAAATGCCATTGACTCACAGATGGGGCAGCCCCTGGGTCCCCAGGGACGGGGAATGGAAGGCGGAGACACAGACCTGCCTGGCAAAGGGTGTCACTGTGCTCCCCTAGGTCAGCTCTGCATGGGAACTGGCCTTCCCACGTCCTCTTCCTCAGGCAGCCTCGTGGCCCAGCACAGCAGCATCTACACTGCGCGGACCGTGGGATCTGTGTGATGACCAAGCAGCGTCTTCCCATCCAGACTGCCTGGGTTCACGTTTCGAGTTTCTGTGTCACTCTCTGTGACCTTAGTTCCTTGACCGCCTGTCGTGGTGGACAAAGGTGCGACTTATGCAGTTCAGCGGGGGAAACAGAGAAGGTCCATGCGCTTCTGCCCTTGTCAATGCTTTATTCACTCAGATCACTCAATACAATTCCACTCTAGGTTCTCAATCAAGGAATGTCAGTCCTTAGTGCCGGGCACTGCGATAGACATGATCAACCCACAGCCAACGATTCTAGGTTAGCTCTAAGCACTGGGAACACACCTGATCATGACAGGCCCATGACAGACTTGCCCTCTGTGATGCTAAGCCCAAGGGCAGGTCTAAGTCCAGCAGATGCCCACTCACTCAGGGCTCGGTGATCAGGTCAGGAACCAAGGCAGGCTTCTCCTGGGCGGAGCTGACGGCCGGTTGAGGAGAGGGTCATAAGGAGAGGTCGCCATTCTCTCCAGGGTCCAGATGTGGCTGTAGAGTTTGAGAGTGTGAGGACGATGCAGAGGATCAGGCAGACGACGAGAAGAGTTGGGATGTCAGTCTGGCTCCTCACCAGGCTCTCCGGTGTGTGCATCGGTGTCGCTGGCTGAGCGTCTGTTCACCCTTTCACTCCCTCTCAGCTGCTACCGGGTTTCTCGGTGACGTCCTGTGTCCTGAGGTTAAGGCATCTGGTCTGGTGGTTCCCACCTGGTTTTCTCGCCTCTTGCCTTTATCAGGGCGAGGGCACAAGCAGAGACTTCACTCTGAGTTCGTCAGGGTTGTGAGAAGTGACTTCTTTGGTCAGGCTATGCCTGATGACCGTATTGGAGGCTCTGTAGGTGTGCCTCGTGGGGATGCAGCTTTGTTTCAGGTGAAGTTTCTCAGGCTTTTCGTTAAGGCCATCCTTACACCTCCTTGTGCCTCAGTTGCCTGGACCACAGAGCCAGAGAAAGGTGGACATCTGCCTCCGACGACGATTCTGCAGATGAAGTGAGTCAACGAGGCTTGAACAGCTGTGCGGAGAGGTCAGAGGCCACCTAACCTGAGATCCTGGAGGCACAGTGACTGCGGGAATTTGGAGACTCAGGTTCTAGAATGGCCCTGTGGAGTGCTATCCCAGTGGGGCTGGAGAAACGCCACAATGGAGCGCAGTCTGCACTGGGCGCCTGCTGGTCACCCCAGCCTGAGCAGCAGCCTAGGCAGCCTGGGCAGGGAGGGGTTCACACGGGTCGTGTCCAGTGACGTGTAGATTTTGGGTGAGGCCAAGTGGCTGCGTCCCTCTTTGTGCGTAGGGAGCATTGAAGAAGGGGTCTGTGGAAACTCCCCCAGTGGCCCAACACACAGGCTGTCCCCCAGGGTGAGTGTGCCACCTAGAGGGACCTCAGCGCCATTGGCAGGTGGTTACTGCAGACTCACAGAAGGTCTCCTGCCAGGGAGCGCATTCCCCACCCCTGTGCGGGACTCCCTACCCATGCTCACACACTCCCCTGCTGACCCTCCTGCGCCTGTGTCCCCAGACGCTCCTAGGACCCTCCATGCCTGAGCTCCGAGATGCCCCTGGTGACCCCCTGGCGTCCTAGCTTCTGTCAGGGCCTGGCTGTGAAGCTCCACAGCCCTCTGTCTCCTCCACCGTCCTTGGTGAGCAGCCCTTGTGGTCCCTAGCCTCTGTGAGGGCTCAGCCACGGTGACAGAAAAGGTCTCAGTTCCCAGTGGCAAGGGAGACGTCTGGCCCAGGGCTGCTGCCCACCGGGCTCTGCTGTGTCTGTGTGACCACCTGCTCTGCGGGGGCCACGCACCCCCGCTACAGACTGAGGAAGGGGACACACGCTCTGTGCGGTGGCGGAGGACTCAGAGAGGAGTCTGCAATGTCAGGGGTCTCCCCACCCTGAGGCCCTGCGAGCAGTCATCCCGCTAGGTCTCCTGAGGGCCAACACTGTCCTGAGGGTGGGGAGCCGCTGAGACCACAGCTGTCAGAAGGTCAGACATCTGGGTGAGCTCAGAGTGCCATTGGGCCCCAGGTTCAGCTCGACTTACCTCCGAGCCGGTGCCTAGCAAGCCTGGTGGCCTCAGGGGACGGGACTGAGGGCCCCGGGCAGCACCCTCCCTCCCTCCCACTCTGCTCCGCTCCTGCCCTGAGTCCACCCCTGTGCTCCCAGTCTGTTGCCTTCTGCCAGCAGAGCCTGCTTCAGGGGCCAGCAGTGTCCAGTCCCTCCTGCCAGCCACCCCAAAGCCCTGGGATGAGGCGAGCTGAAGTGGCGTCTCAGGGGAACCCAGGTGGCACTGAAAGCCTGCGTCCTCGTTGACAAGCTGCTCAGGCCGTGGTGGCTGCCCCACCCTCCCTCCAGGGTCTTGACTTCTTACCAAATAGCTGCAGAAGGACGCCCTGAGCTTGTGAGGAAGAGCCCCAGGCAACGCCTCTTGGCCCTCTGCTCCTCCCGTCCCCAGGGCGTGGGTCAGGTGTGTGGCAGTAGGTGACCCCTCAAGCTCACCCCTCACCAGGTCCACATGCAGCCCTGTACCAGGAGAGGAAGCTCCGCCCAGTGTGGCCGCCCCGGCCAGGCAGGGACACCCGCTTTGCCCAGGCCGTCCCCTCCCTGGGCGGACATGGGTGTGCGCAGTCCGGAGTGTATTGTCACACTCCAGCAATTCAGACAGAGCCCCTCTTCCCAGTCAGCACAGCCCTCCCAGGGCCCTCGAGCGCAGGCCTCCTGTTCCCTGCGGTCACTGGTGCCCCGAGCCCCCCTGTAGGGGTTTGGGGCAGTGGAGGGGGGACAGGGCCTCCAGGACTGGCCTTACTTAGGTTGCAGACTCAAAGATGGAAATAGGATTCAAACGCAGCCTTCACACTGTGAGAAAAGGCATCTCAGGGAGGCAGGGAGGCCGGGGAGGGAGGGAGGCTGAGCAGGAGGACGCTGTGGTGAGCACTGTCCCCTGTGCTTCCTCGTCGAGCCTGGAGCCGGAGCTCTGCTGGAGAGCACTGAGGAAGAGCACTTTCTCCTTGGCCTTTCCAGGCCTCGGCTCTGTGCCACACACCTCTGTGCCACGCACCTCTGTGCCACGCGCCTCTGCGCCATGTGCCTCTGTGCCACATCCCTCTGTGCCACACGCCTCTGTGCCATGCACCTCTGTGCTACGCACCTCTGTGCCACGTACCTGGGTGCCACTCGCCTTGGTGCCACATGTCTCTGTGCCACGTGCCTCGGTGCTCAGTGCCACACGCCTCAGTGCCACATGTATCTGTGACACGTACCTCTGTGCCACATGCCTAGGTGCCACATGTCTCTGTGCCACGCACCTTGGTGCCACATGCCTGGGTGCCACTAGCCTCTATGCCACACACCTCTGTGCCACGCGCTTAGGTGCCACACACCTCTGTGCCACACACCTCTGTGCCACATGTCTCTGTGCCACGCACCTCTGTGCCACATCCCTCTGTGCCACACGTCTCTGTGCCACATGCTTCGGTGCCACATGCCTCTGTGCCACGCACCTTAGTGCCACATGTCTCTGTGCCACGTGCCTTGGTGCCACGCGCCTCGGTGCCACACTCCAGCAATACAGACAGAGCCCGAGGAGGAGCCGCAGGCCTCACCTTGCCTAGACCAGGAACCTACACAGGAGAGCCGGGAGGTGGGAGCATCATACTCAGGGTCACAGTGAACAGACCCAAGGGACGTGCTTGGGAAAGTTCCTAGATATTAATAAAAAGGAAACTCAACCCCACTCCTTAACTTGTAGGTGCTGTTTACAAACTGAGGTTCAGAGCATGTCGATCGTCTGACGCCGTCACTGCAGGAGGCGTTGGGGACAACCGTGGCTCTCTTTCCCCTTCTGAGTGGCAACCCACCAGGCTGGAGAAGCCGGAGAACATCGAGCTTTGACTCTGTCTTGTGTGTGACAAGCACCGGCCTTTTTCCAGAGATAGGTGACATGTGTCAAGGGTAAGGAGTCGGAGGACTGTCACACTCTTCTGGTTTACAGGACAAAGTGAATGTGTCCTCACACACGATGAGCAGGAGAAGGCGGCCTTGGGAACCGCCAGGGGCGTGGGAGGAGGGGCGGCCTTCACCCTCAGGGAAGAGTGGCCTGTAGCAGAGCCTCGGGCTGGGTCAGTCCTCCTGCCCAGCTGACCACTGGCTGTCCCCCACACCTCGCACTCACAGACAGGCCTCTAACCAGGGGACAGGCAGGCACCCCTCCGCCTTCCTCGGCGGAGAAACTGCTGTTCACCATGACCCCCACCTCCCAGCCCCCACCTCGCACTCCTTCCCCAGCAAGAGCTCTCTGGAAAGTCAGGGGCTTGCTCTGAGACACACCTCAGCCTGGGGTCTGGCTCCTGCGGGGTCTGGCTCCAGGGAGCTGCAGCCCGCTCTGCTCCCCTCTCCAACGCCAGATGCGCCAGATGTAGTGCAGTGTTGAGTTCCTGATGTAACTTGACCTTTCTTTTATCAATTAATAGAAAGGGCATTGGAAATTTTTATACTAAAAAGAAAAAACCACTGCACTTATTATAGCTTCCCTCCAGGAATACAAAGAATCACCCTGGATTGAAAATTGCAAAGAACATTGGGGAATAAAGGAATCATTGAACCAAAATGAGGCCACCAACCCAGTTTAGTTCACGCACTATCGTCACTCTGCAGAAGGACAGCTGGGCTGGCCTCACAGGGGCGGGCAGGTGGGCCTGCAGAGGGGGCACCTGCGGCTCACACCTCCCGGGCTTGTTCCTGCTGCCGTGGAGCCACCAGAGCAGTGGAGCGGGAGTGTCCATTGATGCTTCTAAGCAAAAAAATGATTTAAAGAAATTGCAGCAGAGTGCGCCTTAGGAACAGCGGAAGAGAGAGCCTTTCAAGAAAATACTCACACACTGTTTAACTCTGAGCTGATCAACAAAGCAGGGCCTGGCCTGTCTTCCAGGAAGAGGAGAGGATGTTTACATTCCTCAGTTTCTTTTCATCTCCGTCCCAGGGTGAAGGATCTCAGGGCTTGAGGCCGCACGAGGTTCTCCTCCGGAGGAGCCCAGGGCCAGCAGAGGAAAGCACCCAAGGGGGAGAGGCGGCGAGGAGGGGGCGAGGCCCAAATGATGAAGGAGGAAAATACCTCCCAACGCTCCCCCAATGCTCCTCCACCTTCGCGGGCATCCCCCTCTCCTCCCGACCCTGATGGGCTGGGCAGGGTACGAGCCTGGTACCAGCCTCGTACGAGCGAGCGTCAGAGCTACCCCTGGGCCCTTTCCTCCATCCTGCTGCCAACGTGCCACCCAGGCCTCTAACCAGGGACAGGCGAGCACCCCTCTGCCTTCCTCAGCCGAGGAACTGTGTTCCACGTCACCCCACCTCCCAGCCCCACCACCCCCCACTCACAGACAGAACCTGCCCCGGTGACGCCCACACCAGCCTGCCCTGTCCCTGCAGTCCTGAGAGACAGTGAAGCCAGCCCGCCCACCCGGGCCTCACTGCCTGGCACCCCTGGCCCAGGCCCTGCTGGCAGGCACTGTCCCCGAGTGCTGCCTCTGACCTGGTCCTACCCGCCGGGCACTTCAAGCCAAACAGCCTTTCAGAACCAGGCTGTGTGACGCCCCAATGAGGCAAGCGTGTGCTCCTGCCCAGCCTGATCCCATTCCGTCACCTTGTCCCCAGGCCAGTGAGAGGGAGCCCTCAGACTCTTCCTGCATCCTCCGCCTCCCACAGGGTTCAGACCCAACCCACGGTCGTGCTGATGAGGACACAGCCGCTTCTCGGCCCACATGCCCGTTGGCCGCTGTCCCCACGGACCCTGGTTTTGGACGACACTCACTACTGAGCCAGTCATTGCCCGCGCAGCCTCTTGGGCAGATGTGCCAACCCCGCGCCCAGTACTCACTCCTCTAAGATGCAGCCTCTGCTCCAGTCGGCCTGCAGCCAGCCCAGGGCTCCCGGACTCAGCCAGGGCCTAGGTCCACACTGCTGCTGCCAGAGCCGGTAGTGACAGCCACACTTCCGAACCCAGGCCCAGGCCATTTGGACTGTCCATGGTAAGGGCAGGAAAGGGCCTCCTGGGAGAGGGCGCGGGTGTATCTCATGGCCTCCAGAGCACTGCCCACTCTCTGCCCTGGCCTCCCGCCCGTCCCCACTCATGTTTGCACGGCTTCTTCTGGGGCCTGTCGTCTGTGCAGGTGACCGCACACCGCGGCACCAAGGCCAGCTCTCCTCCCCCGCCCACCTCTACCGCCCACCCATCTGGATTCCCACTGTGACCTCCGCGGCCCTGACTGGGACCTGGGCTCCCCTGTGACCTTCGAAGGCTAACGCCATAAGTAACCAATTGTCTCATATCCACTTTGTACCCTGGAAATATTTTCTAAGATAACAATTAGAATTTTGTTGTTGTTGTTGTTGTTGTTTGTTTTGTTCTGTTTTGTTTTTTGATACCAGGGATGGAACCCAGGGACACTTAACCACTGAGCCACATCCCCAGCCCTTTTTATTTTTCGTTTACAGACAGCATCTCACTAAGTTACTGAGGTCTCACGAAGTTGCTGAGGCTGGCTTTGAACTCATGATCCTCCTGCCTCAGCCTCTGAGCTGCGGGGCTCACAGCATGGGCCACTGTGCCCTGCTAGACTACTTTTTTCAAGTGTCTGTTTCCTTGACTCTTTAAAGTCTTTAACCTGCCTCATGCCTCTGGGTGCCAGGGTCTGTACTATAAACTGAGACAGCAATTCCAGATTTGATGGTCACCGCCATGGCCGAGAGTCACAGGCGCACCCAGAGGGGATCTAGGCGTAGAGTCAGACCCTGCGCACTCGTCAGAAGCCGTGGCTCTTTCTGCTCCCTTCCTAAGGCAGCTGAGGGCTTTGGGCTCCTTGGAGAAATGAAAGTCTGTCTGGCTTGGGCCGCTATGATTGAGTGTGACCAGGAGGAGCCGGGGGGCCCTAAATCCTAACAGGAGGCCGCACTCTTCTAGTTTTCTCCGGTAATAAAATACTGAGGCAGATGGACACTGAGATGACTCACAGAGGCTACGTCACATGGCAGGTCACATTGCCTTCCCCGCCAGCAGGCCCTGCGTCCTGTTCTCTGTGGTCATGGGGCCAGCGGACTCCCCGGCCGGGAGCTGGGGGGCGGGAGTCGGCCTGATGCGAGTGCAGGTCACTAGGCCCCCCAGCCTGCCTGGGCCTGGCCTGCTCCCCACGGAGGGGTTTCCCGTGGACGCTCGGGTGGTGCTTCTCACGTTGGCGCTGAGGAGGGAGAGAGCGGAGAGGTCTTCTGAGAAATAATGCTTCTCAATTGACTGGAAAGGAATTGACTCAAGGAGCTTCCTGGGTTGTGCCCCAGGGATCCAGGGTCGGGAGCAGGGGGTCAGGCGGCTTCTCCACGTGGAGTCGTTTCTGTAAATGGGAACCCGATGGAGAAACAGCCAGGCCACAGGAGGGACACGGTGCCCTGTGCGCCTGGAGATGAAGACGGCACGAGGCGCACGTCTGCTTGGTCAGCGCCACTCCTCCCGGGCACCGTGGCGGGTCCTGCTCCTCCCAGGCCCTCACTCTGACCTCTGCTGCACTGCCCCCTCTGGAACAAGGCCCTGGTTCCACGGCCCTTCACGTCCTCAGTCACCCTGGAGAGTCCACAGATGTGGGGGCTCGGCATTCGCTCTTTGATCTGCTGCAGATGAAATCTCTCTCTCCTGGAGGAAACTCAAGTTTACATCTTCTCTGAGACAAACAGATAAACAAAGGAAGGCGTGAGGACTTCTCAGAGTCCTCGGGAACCCAGATCCCAGCAGCGACCCTGAGCTGTGCTGGGCACGCAGTCCGCGGTCCCCAGGCCAGTGCAGAGGGAGCCCTCAGACTCCCTAAATAAAGTTCAGTGGTGTCCCAGGTCTGGAAGCTGAAGTTGCGGCCACATCCCAGCAGGCATCATGGGGATGTTTTGAACCCTCTGCAGCTCACGGTCATTTGCAAATGTCACACCACTGATGGGCATTCTCATCTGCCCAGTGGACTTCCAAGACATATTTGGCTTCTTCTGCAACACTGCACGTTGGACACACGCCCTGGTCTGGCTTGTACTGAAGACCCCTAGCCCCAGTGTGCTGTGCTGCGCAGGGTCTGTACCGCGTCTCCAGCCAGCATCTCCCAGTTCTGAATACACATGAACTTCCTGCCGCAAGTTATTTGGGTCAGTTTTTCTGATGTGACTTTGATCTCAGCATGTTTGTTTACTTATGTTTAGAAAAGTACATAGATATGAACACATTTTTCCAGTGACATTTTTCATTTAAGTACATCCTATTCAGACCAAAGCTAATGCGTTGACTACACTACCATGTGGATTTCAAATTAAACTCTGCACATGGTCCTGTGTCCTGAGCAAGTCAGAAATCTGGATGACTTCAAAATATTAGTGAGCTCCACTCACCATGTTTTGAAGAGCAAATTCATCCCATGGAGTAACTGAACCACACCTGTTTGCCTGTCTTTCAAGGCATAGACCATGTCTTTCTGCTGAGCAAAGGACATGTTATTCTCCAAGACAATTGCCATGCATGTGCCTGTTAGATGGCCATCGGCCCCGTGACCTGCCAGGAGGCGAATGAGCTGAGAAATTGGTTTTGCACGGGAGGGGGGGGGGGGCGGAGGGAATGTCCAAAGTGTCCCATTCCCCATCAGATTTTCAATATTTACCAGGTAGCTTCACATATTAGCAAAACTAAAAAATAAAGTTAGCATATTTGAAACTAACATTCATTCACACTATTCATTTTGATACTATTCTTTGTAGAGAAAATTCATAAACTTATTTCCAAATCGAGACATTAATACATGAGTGAAAAAGCTGCTTCCTGCAGAAATTGGACTCAACCCTGGATTTAGTGATGATCTGGGACACTGGTTTACCTTGAGATGACCAGCTTTCCTACAAATATAGAACCATAAACACGTGTCGAATGCTTCACTATTTAAAATGCTTTAACAACACTACGCTTGATCACAAATAGTTACAAACCTCAGGGAATACTTTGGATTTGCTCAAAATGCAAAATAATAGTAATAATAATAATAATAATAATAATAATATTCACATCTCCAATAGTTTCATTAGCATTTGCTGATAAGGGAATAGGGCATTTCACCAGAAAAAAATATGGAGTAGTCCTAAACCGATATGCAGGGGAGCGTTTCCACAGGCAGATGGAGATGCACACCACACAGTGTGCTGCCATCCTGAGGCACTGCTGCATTAGGCCTGAAGGGGTCACTGGTGTGGACAGCACAGAGGGGGGGGCTGCAGTCTGAGTGTCACAGCCAGGCTGGGGACTCAGCAGCAAGGAGCCAAAGCCAGAGGGAAGGGGGGTCCAAACTGCTGGACATAAGAAGCATAGAGTTGTACCTGCAGAGGTCCAGTGTGGAAGACAGGACCACAGCCTGACGCCTAGCTGATGTGAGGGCTGACCCCCAGGAGTGGACAGGTGCAACTGGGTGGAGCAGGAAGCCAAGGATGGTCCTGGGGATGGTAGCATGGGATGGGACGGCCCCTGAGTCCAGCCTGGCCAGGGCAGGGACCAGCATGGAGTCTTGGAGCACCAGCGCCCCTGGACAGACCACCCACGTTGTTCTGCTTTCCTTCCTCCCTGCACTCTGTGCTCTGCACACCTGTGCCGGCCCAGGGCAGCCAGGATTGGGGGGGCTCCTGAGGCTGGCCCAGGGCAGCCAGGATGGGGGGGGCCCCTGAGGCTGGCCCAGGGCAGTCAGGATGGGGGGGGCCCCTGAGGCTGGCCCAGGGCAGTCAGGATGGGGGGGGCCC